GTATCTTTCATTCTACACAGAAGAGATGTAATACTTCTAAAGCCTGGGATGTAATGATGTTCTGTGGGAAAACAAAGATAGCAGAGCTTGGGCTTGGGGTTTTTTCACCCTGCCAAATTTCATGGAAAATCTTGCTTTAGATTTCTTGTCCAATGTGACCCATTTTTCCAGAAATGATAAGCACTTATTTCTCCTGATGAAATAAATGGAAAAACACAGAGCTTGTAGAAACCTGATTTTCAAGTATTAATATATGAATGCTTGGGTTCTTTTCATTTTAGCAATTATCTATGCCTAGTGTCATTTTGCTGTTTATATTACAATTGAGATTATAGCAAAAAAAAAAGTAAAATTTATCCTCTTACTAAGAGTTTCTTTTCAGGTGTTTTTTCTTCTTGTGTTTTCAGAGTAAGCTGGCAAGTGAAGCTGCAGAAAATGGCACACGTGATTGAGGGGATTGCTTGCAAGAGTATTTGCAGTGTCAGCTTGAAAATACATTTTGGAAAGATGGAATGAAAAAGAGGGATGTTTTGATGCAGAATTTGGGAGGAAGAACAAAAATATTTAAAAGGAGTCAGCATCAATAACAATTAAATTGCTGGAAGGCATTCTTTTGCTTGTAGAAGTCTAGTGCTTTTAGGCCAGGAAGCCATTTCCTCACACAGAAGCTGTCCACAGCACGCTATGATAGTGGTGATGGACTAATTGCTGCATCCCTAACACCTGTTAGTGTTAGTGATGTCAGCATTGTCTGGAAACGGTGAGCTCAGGAGAGTGCCTGAAGTCACATCCTGGGCGGGGGGGTAAGGGAGGGAGGGTATAATTAATAAGCTTGTGAGAGGGGTGAGTGGTGCTTCTGCACAAAAGGAGAACAAATCATGGATACATCGAGCCATGGAGTGCAAGGAGATCTGTTCTGACTTGGAGTGATAGAAGATGTGTGGTGATAGCCAGATCTCCTGGGTAACAGGGCTTGCTGGGAGCCGGGCTGTTGCATGTTAGGATGTGAGCAGGAGAAGGGCTGCTCAGCAAGGGCCTGGGGCTGCTGTCAGAGCAAGAATAAGCTCTGAAGGAGGCTCAGAGTCTGCAGCCACAGCAGGGTGCTGACATACTGGAGGTTGCTTACGGGGCCTTTGCCCAGGAGGTCAAGACATGAGTCATGTAACTCTCTCTTCAACCTTCTGGTGATGGAATGACCATTGCTAAGCAGCGAGAGGGCACATTTGATGCCTCCACTGAAATGGGAAAGTTGTTTCCTTTGGACTGGAAAATATTACATGTATTGATTTTTTTAAAAATCAGTCTTAAAAATTACAATCTAGCATTTTGAATAGTTGCTGCTCAAGCTTGTTTATAATTTCTGTCTCACCAGGCTCTGTAAGATGGCGCTTGCAGCTAAAATTGTTAATGAAAGAAAGCCTTTTTTGTGTGACCCTTATCAAGTTCTAAAAATTGTTCTCATATTTAGTCAAGGAGTTCTAGAAACACTTAGTTTATAAACCTGACTATGTGTGGGGAAATCCTGGCTTGACCACTGGGTTTTCAGAAGTTTGAAGTTGTTACAAGAGCTTAACTTTTCAATAAATTGATTCTCATAGTACAGGGAAAAATCTCTAGAAACTTAACTTTCTTCAGTTCATATAGCAGGAGAATCACATATGCATGGTATAAAAATTATCAATTCCTTAAATGCTGTTAGTAAGCGAAATAAGTCTTTGTGTTTCTCCTTCATGAGAGAGAAATTGTAGTGTTTTGGAGCCTAGCATATACTGAATTAATGTGTGTGCATATATATATATGTGTGTGTGTGTGTGTGTGTGTGTATGTGTGTGTATATATATACACATATGAACGCCTACATATAAACATTATACTTACGTATTTAAACTTATAAAAGGGTAGATTTTACACTTAACCATATATATCTGTTGATCTACTGAATGGACCAAATTTTCTTCTCTCTCTTTCTCTCCCTCTGCCCCCACCACCTCTTTCACCCTACCTTTTTATTTTTGGCAATGAGAATGAAAAAAAATTATCCCTGTTGTCTTGGCTGTATGGCTTAATCCACTGAACTAAAGACTTGGAGTGAAAAAGGAAAAAAAGGAAGAAACCTACAACAGCAATAACATTGACAAAAATAAAATTCTGTTCTTGTGCATCAAAAAAATGTCACTTTCAATTTTTCAAATGTTTATGCACTCAAGGGTCCCCTATAGGGTATTTAGATGGCTCATATGCATAATTATTAAATGCAATACTGCAACACTGAGGTCTTGCTTGTTAAATTCTTCTTGGAAGGTTCTTCATGCACATAGAAAATTGCTTCACTATAGACAGCCCTTACTCAAGTGTAACCCTATTGCAACTCTTGCTGAAGAAGCAGTTACTGCAATGAGATAGTAACTTATTTTCAGGAGTATGCTACTGGAGCATGTTTGTGAGGACTGCAGTCCTCACAAAAGGAAAGTGCTTTATGTAGAATGACACAGTTGTAGAAATTATCTGAGGATAAACACAACAAAGAGAATACCATGTTAGTGATTTATCCTGTATTTCTTTTTTTAAAAAAGTGAGTTAGACATAATTCTGTTGAATGGTCCTTCTTTTTCCCAACATAAAGTCTTTTGATACTATTTGAAATTACATTACTAGAAAATGAAGTAAACAGGTTTTTGTGTGTATGTTTAATGGGTTGTTATGAAAGCAGAGTTAAACTGCTTTGTGTTTTAATTTCTTTCATAGGTCCCTGTCCTGTAAACACCTTGTTTCCAACTGTGGCAGGTTTCTGTATCCCCATACTGAATACAGGGGGCTTCTGCATAGATTTACTTCCCTGCTACTGTGCTAATATTTGCTGGCTCAGGGCTGAATGCACATGCCTACCTCTACATGCATTAGTCATACCAATGAACACAAATGAGGGAGGTGACCTCATGAAACAGCTACATCAGGGATGTACAATACATTATTCTTAAGGCTGTTCTGCAAACACATCTGGCATTGCAGCCTGACACAACCTGAAAGACTGCTAAATGATAAGAACCTTTCATTTGACATAGTCAAATTGATAAGGTGAATGATTAGCAGCACCTAACTACATAATGCAGCCTTTGGATATGATTAACTTTTTAAAGAAAAGAAACAAAACCCAGCAACTAGTATGTTTCTAATATGATTAGCAAAGCACTTCTGAGAAATGTTTTCTGCAAAATGTGCTGTTGTATTTCATGTCATTACGTATTTTAAAATGCAAAATGTATTCACTTCAGAGAATGACAGTATCTGGAGGATATAAGCAGTGAATGTCCTTGCCTATAATATGTTTATGTATCTTTGAAATTTAAAAAAAGATGTTTTTTACAGTTTCGTTGAATATCTTGAGGTTATGAATGGCACTGCATTTAAATTATAAATTATGTCTTTCCATTTCTCTTTTGACTGTCAGAACTTTGTTACAGCTTCAGAATAACAACTTGTGCTAACCACAGGCATAAAATTATTCAGCACTCCTTCTATCAGAAGTGTATTTTTTACCCAGACATGGAAAGCACACAATTATTATGTTAAGGCAATATTCATATGTAATATTAATGTTCTTATAATTTTACCTAAAAAATGATGGAAAATATGTGCTCTCTCATATCATTTAGATTAATGTGCACTCTAAAAATAATACTTCATAACATTAAATTTCCTTGTATGCTTACATCTCTGTGGTATGCTTTCCAATATTCAACACTTGGCCACAGCATTGCAGCTAATATTTCAGTAATCTCCTTTCTTCTTTTATTTATCTGATCTGCTTTGGAGTATGTCTTGAAGCAATGATGCTTTATGTGCATGGCTAAATCTGGAGTTTTGGTGCCATCCGATGGACTTGCTACTGGAAGTTGTGTTCCCACACTCCTTAATCAAAGCCTCCATGTCTTTTCCCCAGTTCCTCAAGGGCTGCTTGCAAGATTGTTGATATATTTGGCCTAGTGCTAAAGACAGGTAAGACTTGTGTAGATCTTTAGCTCCATCATCCCTAAGTATCTAAATACTGTTTGGCACAACCTGCTCTCTCCTGGCTGCCAGAAAGTGAGAGTCAGCCATCAACCTATATGTGATGCTTTCTGGTGAGGAGGCAATGAGACAAGATATTGGCCTGAAACAGTCTGCAACTTATCACCTATTCTTGGGCTATGGAAACAACACATGAAAGCCATGCTCAAGTTGTATTTGAGACAAAATGGGACAGGTTCAGTCCAGGTTGCTTGTATTTTTGCCCTTGTAAAAGAGTTTAATCTGGTCTTTTTGGTTAGATTCAAATAGTTTGGAACTTCAGGTGGTAAAATGGTAGCAAGCTAAGTACAAAAAATACCCCCCTAAGTTAAACAGATACTGCTCACTGCTGCAAAATTATCTTCTGTATTGGTCATTGTCTAGGCTGATATTTTTGTCTAGCAAATATTTTTCTAAAAGAGATTTACTGCATGAACCTCCACTAATAGTAATACCTATCATGTAATGCCTTAAAACAGAATAGCTACTTTGAGTAAAAATCCTCACAGTCACCTTGGCAAACTGTAAATTATGGTTTTATTCCCTTTTCACATCAATAGAGTTGTACAGAGAGGTGGAGTTTATTTATAGGTAAAGTACAAGATATTATCATAACTCGGATTAAAACTAGGACTTTTCAAGTGCTTTTCATTTTCTTAGGGATTGCATGTTCTATATTATTTGCCCTTTTGCTCTAATACAAATGAATTTATTAAGATAAGAATGTCAAAGCAAAATACCAGAAACATCTTTGTGTAAGTATTTGTGCATCATTCTACCTCTAAAATTCGTGATTCATGTCTTGGTAGAGGAGCACCACATCTGCATCCGTGCATTGCACATAGAATCAAAGAAGGGAGCTTTTGTCATTTAAAGTTCGATTTAAATTTTAAAAACTGACTAAGCAGCATAGCAAACATTTTTCTAATGTTCTTAAAAATTCTGTGTTTCAGAGTGTGGCTACTGACCCATCTTCCTGAGGAGAATGGCTGAGATGTCTTTGAAATTATTCCTGGAATTCGACCAGCATGAGATCTCTACCAAACTGAGGTAATACTGTTGAAAGGCAAGAAATCTGAAGTGATGTATGTTCAACTGTCTGTGCATTGACAATGTCAACTGCTGAAAACATTCCCCATGCCTGGGGCCAAAGGAAACAGTCAGAATGGGTAAACCTGAGGACATCAGTCTCTTCTGAGGGATATTTGGTTGGTGAAGCCAAAAGCTTTTCTAGGTAATTTCTAGATCCAGGTTTTTACTAACAATGACAGCCCAGACTTCTGCCATAATGAAGTACCTTCTTGGAGGTTAACTAACTAGTTATTTACCTAGCAATACTCAGCATAATGGCAAGCACAGGAGTGGGGTCACTTTTGGTTAGTTTGTAGAGCCTTTAACACCTCAGAAATTTCACTATGAGAAAACCAGACAATTTAAAATGATAGCGTGGGCAGTAAAATTATGTAGCATATCACTACTAAGCCTTCTGCTAGAAAATTCACAAATTTTTCTTTCTTTAACTCTTCACCAGAACAGGTTTTGGTTACAATTCTGTCGGGGTGGACCTGACATAAAATGATGTCAAAAATCAGTCACATTAGGATTACACACATAAATAAGACAAGTACAATTTGCCAAGTGATATGCATGAAAATGAATTTTCTTGCTATGGAATGATTTTTTTGAAATCAGTTTTCTTTAAATGGTATTAGCTAGAAAGCAGCAGAAAATATGCCCTGGTCTATACCAGGAGGTATATCTGTCTCATTCTGTTTCATCAAGCGTACATAAGTTATGTATGGCGTTTTCATTATGGATAGTAGTCTGGCCTTAGAAAGATATCAATTATTATGAAATGTCTTTCATTAATTGTTTCTCTCTTGTGAGGATTTAAAAAATAGTTTGTGTTGAAAAGAGCAAAGATAAACACTGTTTGTTAAGATCTCTGTAGTGTAAAATAAAATACTGCCTTTCCTAATAATTTCAGCAAGACAAAATTGGTACCATTTTAATTATATTTAATTATGTTTAATTATTGTTTAATTATGTTCAATTATTTAATTATGCTATATGTACATTGTGCTTCTGACACCTTTGCTGGGAGGAGGAGTAACTTGCCAACATTACTGGCATTATGCAACCTGAAAAACCTGCACCCCCCAAAAAATCAGGGTGTTCAAGTTGCTATCAGATAACAAATTAAAATGCTAAACCCATTGCAAACAATATGCTTCATGTTCAGAAATTCCATTTTCTCCAAAGGTGTGACCTGATTTCAGTGGGAAGTCTGTAAACAGGGGGTTGAAAATCTAGGTTCTTAATATCAAAATCCTCACTCCAAAAATATGTAGGACAAAGGATGAAACTGATATTAAGAAAAGTGTGAACAAAAATGTTTTTCACAAGTCTGTCAATGTCAGTAATTTCTCTCAGTTGTCAAAACTCATGTTTACAGAAGTTAATTCAAAGATAATATCTTATGTACTAGGAAGATTTATAGGTATCTAAACATTTCTTAAAGACAAAAGTTGCTGCACTTCCTAATAACTCTCTCAATTGCTTATCTGTTCTCAAGTAAAATATGTAACAATACATATATTTATATGTACTGTTCTCTTTAAGAGAAAGTATGCACAAAATTGTGTATGTATTCAGATTGGTATATATGCAAATGCCTCTGTAATTTCTAGTGGTCCCTAATTCTAGAAGAATGGAATGCTTATGCTGTTGAAGGTCTTCATTAAAACATACATTATTCTATAATACAAGTAATATCTAATTTAAGAAATATTTTATTAATATGAAGTTCAACAAAATGCTTAATCTCTTCAGGATTTTAGTGCTACCTCCTATCTGTGAAGCCATCCATAAGATCTCAGACTGAGTTTGCTGTTGTTGCTCACCTCAGTCTTATTTTAGATATACGTACCTCAGGCACTGGTCTTCCCCAGTCAAAAGGGACTAAAGACAACAGAAAAGGTACCTTATCTAGAAGAAGGTGAAAAACAGTATTCCATAACAATTAAGACTCCTGGAAAGCAGAAAATAACTTAACTGAAGGTATTCTTAATAATTAATTTAAGAACCTGATTTAAGCTGAACACAGGAAAACAAATTACCTTGCTATTCTATGCAACCATTTCTTCAGGAAAGCTTTGAGATTTCAGTGTAAATTCCAGTGTAGGTACATCCCAGTTTTTAAGGATACTGCAAAGACTCACCAAGCTAGCCAATAGCATCAAGGTGCCTTCCCCCTGGAAAAGGATTTGGATGGGACAAATTTTATGTTCAGCTCAGCTGACTTGGATCAGTAAGGTGCGTGTAGTTGATGTGGTGTCTGTACATATTTCATATTCTGAAAAAATAGATCATTTTTGTATAATAGAAACAGGGTTTTTTACTTTTTAGAAATCATAAAACTTGTACAGCAGTAGGATTAGCTGCTCTACTTTTTGCCTGTATGGCCTGATGAATCTTGAATTTGTGAGATTCATGAATGTGGCAATCATGAATAAGGCAATGAGGCAAATCAACTTTGCAAGTTGAGCAAGACAGTGTCCTCATCTAGAAACTGTCCATTCCTGGTGAAGGGGAATACTTCTGACTTTCTCTGTAGAGATAAGAAATAGAGGCAGCCAATTATAAGGGCAGGTAGAAGGATTTAGGTAGAATTTAGGCTGGCAGCATCCAGGCCAGCTTTATTTATGTAACTCCTTTGTTTTGGCATCTCCTCTACCTTTATGTTTGATAGGCCAGAGCCCAGTGGTCAATTTGATATGTTTGGAGAGTTGAACATGCTCCAAATAAGGTGACTTCTTTTTTTTCTTTTCTTTTTTTTCCTGAAAAGCAAAGCTCCGTCAACAGCATCTTCCACTCTCCTGCCATAACCCCCACTACTACCCATCACTTGATGATTTTATGCTTTGAGGTTTTTTGGTTGTTTTTGATTTTGGCTTTTTTTTTTTTTTTTTTTTTTTTTTTGGGGGGGGGGGGGGGGGGGGCTTTTTTTTTTTTTTTTTTTTTGAGGAGGAGGGAGAGGGGAGGCCTTTTGTTTTTTTGTTTTATTAAATCGTGTCATAAAATGAGCTACCCTACTCAGAAAGGGCAATATTTCAGTAACTGGGATGAGAGCTAGTGACAAAATAAATGTCAGCAGCAAACCCAAACATCTCTTTACCTACTCTTTGTATCATAGATGCTCTTCAGTTTTAATTAACTGATCAGCACAAAAAGTGATAGTCTTCCTCTTCTTCCAGGGTCTACATCTTAGTTGTTTTGTCACCATTTTACAGAAAAAGTGTGTAAGGCAGTGGAGAGCATATATGGCAAAAATAAAAAGACAACCCCCTCTTGCATTAGAGTCTTGGAAAACTGTCAGTTTGTGAGTTCTGTCTTAAAGTTTCACTAGAAAAGAATTGTGCATTTGAGTTTTTGAAAGTTTAGCAGAGTAAGAATGAAAGCTTCCCTTGAAACCATTATGATATTGCCACATAGTGTTTTTCTTAGTTATTTAGTCAGCAGGACCTTCAAAGCTGTAGCATAAGCTGCATTCATTTGAGCCAACAAAGTAACCAATAACCGTGGTCAGACACTTTCCTGTACATAGGCAGTGCTTGGAGACGTATCACATATATTTTGTCTCCAAGATATGCACGAGTGGAATTTAGGGTAGGTGGGCTGCTGGGCTCTGCATCTGGAGCTGGGGTGGGCTTGGTAACCCTGCAGTTCTACAAGAATCGTAATCCTATGAAAATTTTATTAGCAAAGTGGGTATTTGTTGGCTGCTGTGAAGGGAAAATCATACTGAGAAACAAGGCTTTATATAACAGAAAAGAGAGAGAGAGAGAACCCCTGCTCTGTGCTTTGGTGAGAGTGCTGTTTTGCAGCTGTGCTGCACTGCCTTGATGTCAGCTCCCAGTTTCAGCCATCATGGAAGCTCCAAGTACCACTATGAGCTCAGAGTACAAATATGAATTACAAATTCATATATCTTACTTCACTGCCTCCTTTCCCCTCTTCCAATTAATGTAGTCTAAAAATATCCTCCATTCTAAATTGCTTTACTGCTGACGCAATGTCTTGTAAAACACTATGGTTATTGACAGAAGAAAATAGAACCTCAAGCTCCAGAATGAATAATCTTTAAGCCTCAGAATACTGTTAATGTGAACTGTTCTGCATTTGACTGCAAATTAACTATCTTTTTGAAAGATATTGATCTCACTTAAAAATGCAGCATGCCCACATTAAGAGCAATACTCTTACTTATTATGAGGGAAATCCTGTTACTTCAAACAAAAATGGGGGAAAAAGTAGATGCTACATATGCACATATTGTGATATTCTTTTATTGTTGTAGCTCAGTAAACATACTTTATATCAGCTTCTGAAAAAGTTATATAAATTATTTCTTCACAAGTGGATCTCAAAAAAAAAGGTGGGAGAAGAAAAATGCACAGAACTAGAACATGGAATTAATATTAAAATTATTTTTAAATTTTACAGCCAGATTCAGTAAATTTACTTACAAGAAACTACTCAGATCGGTAATTTATTGATTTACTCAGATAAGATTTGCAACTTGCAAGAATTTACAGATTAAAGCCCAAGTCTGTAAATATTTAGAAAATAAGTCATACATGAAATCTTGCTCTTCACAAAAAGGAAATATTCATTTGGCAATAGTAAACTAATGAAAGGCTTTCTTAAAGAAGTGAAAATTAGATAAGTAGGAATTGCTTCCTTTGAACTAGCTAAATCCTTTCTTTATTTTATACCAAAAGAAAAATTAAAATGAGTAACTCTTTCTCTAACACTTTAACTCTTTTGGAAAAAACCTTATCACTGCCCATATCAGTGTGCGACTTAATCAGCACAACTGACAAGGATTTATGAACATTTAAATTTCAAATGCATTTACATACACACACACATATATATACACACTCATTTTATTCAAGCTATTTTACACAAACAGAACCTTAAGTAGTTGAAGTACTAAAAAAGCCAATCGACATACTTTTCATATATCTGTAAGTCCATAAACCTCT